TAATGAGGCATCATGAATGGTGGACATCTAAGGGGGAGTGTTATGAATAGTAGTTGTCCACCTCAGTCAAAGTTACTATGCTCCACCTCAATCAAAGTTACTATGCAAGTGAGTCAAAATTAATGTTCACGTCAGAATCTTACTGTGCAAATTGTAAGTACTATGCAAATAGTAACCATGAATAGTGCCAATAATTTCCTTTTAAATAGAGCTCTAAGATTCTTTATTTTATATACATTTACAAGATTAATGAAACTCCCTCTCTCTAGTTTCTCGCTCTAAATTTTTTTTTCTTAGTTTTCATAACAATGCGAAGTTTGTGTACCAAGTTTTTCATGTCCAACATGTAAATGTTGTATAATATCTGCACGTACCATATTAGTTGCTGATAATTATAGATAAATATATATTTTGCCTGTACATTACTTTGATTACTACAATAGAAAGTTCACAGCTCCTATTGTGTGCGAGACCATAAATTGCTATACCTTTTTATTCATCGATTTTTGTGGTGAATACACACATAATATACTACGTAACCACCAATGTTTACCAATCAAGTTATAAAATTAAGTGCGTATCTTAATTACGTATTTGATAAGATGACATTTTCTAAACCTTAACTACCCCAATTTATTAAAACCATCTGATCCATATTACACGATTAAAACATTATTAATATCCACTAATATATATAAATGTTAGAGTAACCATTGATTTAGAAAAAAGATACACATAATTTGCATATTAGATATACTCTGATGGTATACATTTGCAACAGTAATAATAAAAAACTAGTATAAGGTAAAAAGCTCCCTACTTTAATGAATACTATTTACACTAATTTTTAAGTCTTTACGAACTACAGTGTTGGTAAAAAACGGGGAAGACATGCGACACTATGTTCTTTTTTCAACTGCATGATTATTAGCAGCTAAAAAGATTACTATTTATACTTTTCCTTCTTTTTGTTTCATTTTATTTTCTTCTAATATATTACAAAAGAAAACAGAGGAAGTAGAATAATGGAATGAAGAATGAACACATTCTCATTGATTTGTGTTGATTACAACGAGCAATATATAGCCTCAGAATGATAATTAACAACTCAGCAAAAACGGAAAAGAATGAGAGAAAGGAATAACAAAATAACAAAATGCCAAAGAAATCAACATCCTCGAGGTAACAAACTCCACTCTCGAGGTAACGAATTCCAGTAACAAATTCCATCCAGCTGTCCTAATACTCCCCTTCAAGATGGAGAGAACAAATTGTGAATTCCCATCTTGGACAACAGGAGATGAAATTGTGTTGGATGAATAGCCTTTGTGAAGATGTCCGCGAGTTGATTCCGAGTAGAAACGTGCAGCGTCTTCAAAAAGCCTGCTTGTGTTTTTCTCACGCACAACGTGGCAATCAATCTCGATGTGCTTCGTGCACTTATGAAACACAGGGTTGGTAGCAATGTGGAGGGCTACCTGATTGTCGCAAAATAGTAGTGCTCGTCCATTATGCTTGACTTTGAGATCTCTCAACAAGGAAAGCAACCAAATCAACTCACAAGTGGTGTTGGCCATGGACCTATATTCAGCTTCGACAGATGAACGGGATAGAGTTTGTTGTTTCTTGGACTTCCAAAAGACTAGAGAGATAATCAAAAACACACAAAATCCACTAATGGATATTCTAGAGTCTGAATAAGCAGCCTAATCTGAGTCAGTGAAGGCCTTGAGCTGTATAGGAGAATTGGTAGCAAAAAAGATACCCTGGCCTAGAGTACCCTTTACGTACTGCAGTATTCTATGGGTAGCATGCAAATGAGAGACCCAAGGTGCAACCATGAATTGACTCAATCGATTAACTGAGTAACATAGATCCGGATGGGTGATAGTGAGGTAGAGAAGCTTACTAATAAGCCTTCGGTAAAGTGTTGGATCTTCAAGCAAATCTCCATCGGATTGGGAAAGTTTGAGATTTGGCTCCATTGGAGTAGAAACTGGTTTACAAGCCAAGTTTCCTGTTTTAGATAGCAATTCTAATGCATAATGGCATTGACAAATCGAAATGCCCAAGTGATATCGAGCAACTTCGAGTCCTAGGAAGTACTTCAAGGACCCCAAGTCTTTCAACTTAAAACGATTAGCAAGAAGAGACTTCAAATCACTCACAGCAGTTTGATCATTACTTACAATAACAATATCATCAACATACACTAAGAGGGCCAGAAAACTATTGTCTCAATGCTTGACAAAGAGTGAATGATCACTGGCCGATTGAACAAAGCCTTCATTAAGGAGAACCCCTAAAAACTTGGAAAACCATTGTCATAAAGCTTGCCGCAGCCTATATAACGACTTCATCAACCTACAAACAGCCCTTTCGGGTAATTGCTCCCCCTCACGACAAGAGTAACCGGGTGGAAGTGTCATATAAACTTCCTCATGAAGCTCCCCATGTAAAAAGGCATTGTTGATGTTGAGTTGGGTGAGTGACCAAGCATAAACAGCTGCCAAAGAAAGTAAGACTTTGACAGTTACCAACTTGGCAACAGGGGAAAAAGTGTCGAGGAAATCAATACCTTCCCTTTATGTGCATCCCTTAGCAACAAGACGTGCTTTATGCCTTTCCACAGTCCCATTAGCTCTGAATTTGGTCTTGTACATCCATTTGCAGCCAACGGGGGACTTGCTAGGAGGAAGAGAAGTAATATGCCAAGTGTTATTTTCTTCCAAAGCACACAACTCCTCTTTCATGGCAGCTCGCCATTCTGGAAGTTCATTAGCCTCTGAAAAGTATTGTGGTTCGAAAGAGGAAGAAATGGCAAGACTAAAAGCATGATGAGACTCAAAAATATGATGGTAACTAAGAATTGAAGAAAGGGGATATGAAGTTTGGGAAGGAGAGGGAAAAGAAGAGTTGGAAAGAGCGGCCAAGGAGCAGTGGTAATCAGCCAAGTAAGCAGGTGGTTTAGTGGCTCGTTTTGGACGAGAAGAGTTGACTAAGGGGGGCGGGGAAGAGGACGGACTCAGCGAAATGGCTGGGAGATGTGTCGAAACAACATCCAGAATGGACTGAGGAAGCACTCGATGATGAAAAAGGTCAAGATTCGGTGTAGAGCCGGGGATAGCAAAGGGAAAAATAGACTCGTGAAACATAACATTGCGAGAAATAAAGGTTGTGTTTGTGGTAAGGTCGAGAAGCTTATACCCTTTATACCTAAATGGATAGCCAAGAAAAACACACGGTCTAGCACGGGGAGAAAATTTGGAACGATGACTTGCTAGGGTAGAACCATAGCAAAGACACCCAAAGACTCTGAGATGACCATAAGAGGGGGGGCTTATCAAACAAGAGCTCAAATGGTGTTTTATTGTTCAACAAGGGAGATGTCAAACGATTAATTAGATAGACCGCTGTCAACACACAATCTCCCTAATAACATACAGGAACATGAGATTGAAAATACAAGGCGCGAGCAATATTCAATATGTGTTGATGCTTGCGCTTAACCACAGAATTTTGTTCCGGGGTGTCAACGCAAGAAAAATAATGTACCATACCTTTTGACTCAAAAAATTCAGTGAGTGCCAACTCAGGAGCGTTGTCAGAACGAGCAAACTTGATGGCAACATGAAATTGAGTTAAAACCATATGAAAAAACTTAGAAAAAATTATTTTAACTTTAGACTTGGTTCGTAACAAGAAAAGCCAAGTACACCTCGTGCAATCATCCACAATTGTGAGAAAAAATGATACCCTTCTGTTGTTGGGGTATGAAAAGGACCCCAAATGTCCATGTGAATTAAATCAAAGGGTTTGGGTGACAAATGGTTGTGAGATGGAAAGGGTAATCGTCTTTATTTTGCAAGCGGGCAGATTGAACATGACAATGATAAAGAGAATTAGACAAAGGTAGTTGTAATTTTTCATTCATTGATTTCAGTTTTACAGCAGAGGGATGTCCAAGCCGAAAATGCTAAATATTTGGCATGGGCATCTTAGAAGGAACAAAATTACAAGACGAAATTGAATTACAACTCAGATTTCCTAGGTCTAAAAAATATAAGTTGCCATCTCGTTTACCCGTCCCAATCATCCTCCCCTGAGTTAGGTCCTGAATAAAACAAGAATTGGACAGAAAAACAACGGAACAATTATAAGATTATGTGAGTGCAGTGATACTCAAGAGATTGAACCGAAATAAAAGGACATAAAACACATGGGTTAGCACCAATGAATTCAGTAGTGTACAGAACCAATGTGTGTGATATCAACTTGGTTACCATGGGGCAACATGAGCTTAGCCCCAGGTGATGGTTTGAGGGAAGAAAAAAGAGAAGAATCTGAACACACATAGTGCGTAGCACCTGTGTCGATCACCCATCGCACAGACGAAGGTTGAGGAGAGGATATACTTGTGAAATGTGAGGTGGATGGTTGTGGAACTTCAGAATGGTTGCTGGCACTGAGATGGAGTTGCGAGCTCAGAAGAGCAATAAGCTGCTGGCACTGATCTGGAGTGAAGGACCCCAAGGGCTGAGAGGAGCTCTATGGTTGAGTCGGGGGTTATGCAGAGAACTTACTCTCCATCGAAACCTAATGAGAAAGATTGGATTGAGTGGAGCTCTGTGGGCTGGCTAATAGGCCTGGCTTGGATGGGCCTGACTTGGACTTGGGCTTGTACCCAGGTGGGAAACCATGCAGCCTATAGCACCTATCCACAGTATGACCCATGAATCCACAGTGAGTACAGCTAGGCCTGTTCGTTCGTGGTTTTGATTGAGAGATAGTGGACACATTAACAACCGGAGAAGGAGGAATAAAGGTTTGAAGCGCCATGGAATTCGGTGAAGAGGTGGTGATCTCAAACCCAATAGTGCGCTGCCATTCTTCTTGAATAACCAGTGAGAACACTTTGGGAATTGAGGGCAGAGGATCAAGCAACAAGATCTATGCTCGTGTTGATGCAAAGGAATCGTTTAGACCCATCAAAAACTGCATCACATATTCTTGTTGTTGGTACTCCATCCAACTCTTGATTCCTCCACAACTGCAAGCCGGTATGGGCTGGAAATCTTTGAGCTCGTCCAAAGGATCTTGAGACGGGTGTAATAGGTGTTAACATCAAGGGATCCTTGAGACAGACCCAGCAAAAGTTTCTTGATCTGGAAAATCCGTGGTGCATTGCTCTGGTGAAAACGATCGTACAAATCGATCCATACATCCCTAGCACTGTCAAGATAGAGAAGGTTGTCTCTTATCTCTTTCGTAACTGAGTTAAGCAGCAAAGAAGTGACCATACTATTGCATCTAGACCAAAAACTGAAGGTTAAATCAGCCGCAGGGGGTCTCGGCAAAGTACCGTCCACAAATCCAACTTTGTTCTTGGCATTGAGAGCCATGAGCATTGATCTCCTCCAAGTATTGTAATTGGATTCAGTCAAAGGATGAGAAACTAGAACCAAACCGGGATTATCTCCACCATGGAGGAAGAACGGGCTATTTGTGTCATCCAAGGTGCTGACTGATCTCTGTGTAGAAGCATAAGCTGTCTCAGGTGGAGCTGCGAACTTAGACGCCAAAGGATTGAAATGGTTTTGCTGACCACCGTCACGCACCATGAATCAACAATCGTGAGCAGCAAAAGTAGGGTTCTATGATACCATATTACAAAAGAAAACAGAGGAAGTAGAATAATGGAATGAAGAATGAACACATTCTCATTGATTTGTGTTGATTACAACGGGGCATTATATAGCCTCAGAATGATAATTAACAACTAAACAAAAACGGAAAAAAAGGAGAGAAAGGAATAACAAAATAACAGAATGCCAAAGAAATCAACATCCTCGAGGTAACAAACTCCACTCTCGAGGTAACAAATTCCAGTAACAAATTCCATCCAGCTGTCCTAATATAATACGTACGTGTTTGATAACATCTTAGTCCACAACTCATGCTTTATATGAAGTTACGAATTCTTTTTTCCTTCTAATGAACTGAGCAGTTTTTGTACACATTAACGTGTGGCTCATAATACAGGTTTAATATACTTTTCTCAACTGCATGATTATTAGCAGCTAAAAAGATTACAATTTATTTTTTCCCTTCTTCTTTTTTCATTTTATTTTCTTCTAATACGTATGTGTTTGATAACATCTAAGTCCACGACTCATGCTTTATATGAAGTTACGAATTCCTTTTTCCTTCTAACAAATTGGGCACTTTTTGAACACATTAACGTGTGGCTCATAATACAGGTTTAATATTTCTTGCAATTTTATAATATTATACATAATGTATTAAAGTTAATAAGATTAGTGCTATGAATGTATTGATCATTAGTGGCACTTAATACCACTAGTTTTAAATTAACGTCACATGACTGATACTTGTCCATGTGAGGTCTACACGTAACCCTATCGTGGAATTATAAGATTGGAATACCAAAGGGAGAGAAAGAAGAAGAAAAAGATATTAATGGCGCTTTGTCACACCGTTTTGGAATGTTCAAAGTTTTAACAAAAATTAGATGAGGTTTCTACAACAACAGGAAAGAAAGAAAAAAAAAAAAAAAAAAAAAAAAAAAAAAAAAAAAAAAAACAAGAACAAGAACAAAGACAAAAAACTAGAAGAAAATAATTCGATTTTCACATCTTGTTGTGGGCTTATTCTACTCCTAATTGACTTGTAGTCAAAAGCGACTTAACTTCAGAAACCAAACATGGCGCAATAATACACATCATAAAAATTGTATCATAAATATCATGGATGAACGTATTAAAATTTTATGTTATCAAAAATAAAAGTCCTAATTTATATTCATTCAACATATTATACGCTGACTAGTAACTAATTATTGGGACCATTCTTGATGTTACATGTGACACACCATCCATATTAATCTACTCATAAATAGGACACCTGTGCGGGCTTGATCAGCTGAGACTCAATCACCGTCAGAGAGATTAAATTCTTATGCTCAAGCAGAAAGAAGCATATGCCTTTAAGGTGAAGCTTATGGACCACATGCATTAGTATCAAAAATAGCTTTCGTTTAATTAGCTCAATCTCGGAAAGTTAAAACCCATTTTCTATTTCCAATATTATCCTTTTTCCGCATAACTATAGGAATATATATATATATATATATATGCATATGTTCATATGTACATTTATGTGTGTGTGTACTTCCATTGCGTTTTAACTTTGACGAATATTGACTGTGTCAACGGTTGTGATTATTAAGGAGACGACTACCTTGACATGCAATTAGCATTTCAGATATTATATATGCTCTTCGATGTAACAAAAAGGTTCAAAGTGAAAATAACACAACTTTCATTTTTTGGGGTCGCATATTGTATACCACTATTTTCTACGCTAATTATTATCTTGTGTTGTGAGTGTTTTATTGTACCTATATCTCGTCTATTAATGTTATTATCCTTATTAATGTTATTATCTTCATGTAACAAGTAGTTATGAAAATATAACATAAAAATTATTGAATGTAACATCAATTTTGTAGAAAAACAACACAAAAGAATTTAGTCATCTAAAGACTATATTATCTCTCTCTAACATTAATGTTACGTTTAATAATTATCATATTTTATTTTTATAATTACATGTTACGTTTGAAAAACAGTTCCTTTAGAGGACCAGAAAAAGCCTAAAATATATTCTTAAAAAATCTGATAGAATCTTAAAGGACTGTTGATGATGTGCTTGTCGTGTATGGTGCTGTACGGATTAATTTGTTCGGTGATTTGCACCATTTAGAAGGAAATAAAATGATAACAAAAATAATAAAGTTAATATTTACATAAACTGGTATTTTCAGGCCAATATTTCTGCCAATTCACTGATGTTTTTTTTTTTAGAAAAAATAAAATCTCTGAAGGATATTATTATAGTCTGTTATTACTAGTCTGTTATATTGTCACTTAAATATCCTTTTTCTACTCGAGAGTTGTATTACTTATTATTGAAGTTCCTTAATTAGCTTACTAGCTCGGTTGCTACATGAGCTCTTGCAAAAGATTTTTTTATTTGTTTCCTTGGGTAGAAATGCCTCTAAGTTTATTATTAATATCATTAATATCATTACTATTATTCTTATTGTTGTCGTTGTTGTTTTGTTGTTAATTGATGAGAAAATTACTTGCATGCATGAGCCTGGATTTTTATCCGTTACTCGATTAATATCATTTTGATTAATATAATTATTTGACTAAAAAATATTAATTAAGAATAAGTAGTAAAAATTTAAACTCATAAGGGTATTTGTCTCTTTAATCGATTAGTCTCCCTTTGGATATTTGGCTTTTCCTTCTAAAAAAGAGACTGAGAAAGGGACAAATACAAGATTTATATATCTTACTCTTGATTAATAAGCTTCTTAATCAAATAATTATACTAGTAAAAGGATTTTAATTAACAGTGAGGGATAAAAATTCAGATTTATGCTCCGTTAATGATACATTAATTATGCAATTTTCTCAACAAAAAAAAAGGGGGGGGAGACAGTATTGGCCCAGTGGTTTAGCTGATCTGTGTGCCAAAAGGAAAACCCATATATATATAGTAAAGTTTAATAACCTGCCTTATATATCTATGGCTACTAAAATACAAACTTCTTCCTTTGCCCTCATCTATTCTATCCTAATGCCAAAAATCCTGGCCCAAAAAGCAAAACTTCAGGGACTCAGCAACACAACATATTTACTGATCTTCTACCAAGTATCTCTGATGTCATCCGAGTTGCGGGGCCAGACTTCCACTGCAGTAGGGGGGTATATGATAATTTTTTTCTTGAAATGTACAATGAGGGCACACGTATAAAAAATCGTATCTTTATTACAAAATTCAAAGGTACTTATTTGAAAAAACAAAAAATCAATTTCAAGTATCTTAATTACACTCAATCTCAAGTGTCTCAGCCACTGATGTCATCGTTAATTCGCACAACAAATATAGAACAAGCTATAAAGTTCAATGTGATCATTAAAGAAGGAAATATATGTATCTATTCTATTCTAATGTATGTTTTTACTAAGTGTACAATATGTATTAGAATCAACTAGACGCAGTAAAGCATAATGAAAATTATAATTAAACTTAGAGAATATCTAGTAGTATATACCAATAAGTACTGTGCTGTCTTAATAAGAATTTCAAACGACATAATAGCCGTGTTTAGAATCGATCCCTTTTTTTATTTTTCACGTTTTTCAAAAAAAAAATGAAAACGTTTCTAAAACGGCGTTTGGCGCAATAAAGATAAAAAACGAAAATGAAAACGATTTTTTGTGTAAAATAATAGAGAAGTCATTTTTCATTTTTTGTTTTTGTTTTCTCCTCTCTCGAGTAGAGAGAGAAAGAGAGACATTAATGGGCTTTTTTACACTATAAATAATCTCGTGATAAAACTACCAAACGCATTTTTAAAAATGATTTCTGTCTGAGATTGAAAACGTTTTCATTTTCATTCTCATACAAAAAATAAAATCATTTTAAAACGAGTTCTAAACACGCCCAATAACATCAACATATGGGCCTCTCTCTCCCTCTTCTATATTAATTTCTATCATTTTTTTACGTACCCTCAATAGTACTCTCTATATTGTATGGTTCTATCATATTGCTAAAAAAAGAACGGATTCTATTATTCCATGTTTAATTTAAGAAATCAATCTAGTGATGAGGTACGCCCCCTTGGACTTCGTTTGATGTGTTAAACAAATTACAGACGACCAATATGACTAATATATATGTTAGCCCGAAAAAAAATTAAAAATAAAAATAAAAAAGAAAGAAAGAAAAAAACACTTCCATGACTCCAGTTCTGTCATACATCCCTTTATTTATGATACTAGGGCAGGGGCTGAAATGCAGCCCACGAGATGATGTGAATCAAACAATAGATTATTCCACTCTTATATTATATATATAATATGCTTATTAGTTTTCTTCTTTTTGCCTATTTATGGGAATTTCTATGTAAAAAATAAAAATAAATATAAATCGAAGAACAAAGAGTGAACCAGGAAGACTAGTGCAGCCGATCCAATGGTGATATTTATGGATAAGTTTTGAGGCTGCAAAGATATTTTTCAGGATGTTGTCGTCGGACGAACCTTTTCTCTGATGCTGACAAAAAAAACTCACATGCATAACATGCATGCCTTATATATGCAGACATCAGTTCTTTGGTTTTTCTTTTTCTTTTCCTATTTTTCTTCAACTTAGCTCATTAATTTAAGGTAAAAAATGCTCAAATAAGTTTACATGTCAACAGAAATTAAGAAAATAGTCAAACTTATTGACCATAAGGATGTGAAGATTCACGATCATTGCTTGGAGTTTAGAGCAATAGATCTAACAGAGAAAAAAAAAGAGAGAAAAGAAAAGAATAAAAAACGGTAAACACAAAAGTATTGATAGGTTGGCTATATTGACTATAAAATAATATTGCTTTTAAGATAACTACAAGGTGTGACGTAAAGTCAGTTATGAGCCAACATGATCAATTATGCAGTCTTAACGTGAGACCACATGGAGCATAATTTATATATATATATATATAGTGATTGAGTCAGGTGTTAGACTCGTGCAA